AAGTAATAATTAATGTATAGCGGAAAAAGTTTAAAAACATAAAAACATAAATGCAAACTATCCTTCATTTGCTCAAGAATTATAGTTCAAAAAACTTAAAATTTTAAGAGATTATGTGTATATAAATAAAATTACATAAAAAAAATACATTAATATCGAGACAGAGGCGGGATGAAGAGTATTTCCCTCGTTCTTACCGCACCACAAATTGGAGACTAAACTTTGTCCCCATCCCCATTCCTAATAATTGCTCACTATTCTCGGGGAATATTGACATCCTTACTCAAAGATGCCCAATTTCCAAACAATTTAAGTAACATTTAGCATCTATTGAGAAAAACTATTGATATGAATACAGAGAAAAACTATTGATGTGAATGCTATTTAGGTTAAATACTCGTTGAATCATGATTTTAATTAATTTGTTTCTTCATTTTTATACTAGTAATGTTAATATCTTGTTGTCCTCAAATATGTTTTACTTGTTTACGTATATAATATTCAACTAAATAGACGAATTGGCTGAAACACGCATTCCAATCTATCTAATTATTTTTCCATTTTTTTCTTCTTTCATGCGTTCAACTAAGAGGACCACAATTTCACGAGAGGAAACCAAGAAGGGTTTTTTTTTTTTTTTTTTTTTTTCACTACAAAAAAAAAAAACATAAAAGGAATTAAGAGGGACATATGTTTGTCTAATTTTCTCATATATAAATTTTAGGGACAATATGCAGCATTACAACATTGGCTGATTGTTGAAGAATTGTTTCTTCAAAACAATCCGTTAGGGGTGTAAATCGGCCGGGCTCGGCCGGAGTTGCTCAAAAAGTTAGGCCGAGCTGACATGTTCAACGTCTTCGCCATGAAAGATGGCAACTAATGAGTTCTTAGATGAGGAGCATCTGTTAGGAACACCGGCAATTAAGAGGGAAGACGATCAGGGTTTTAGAAAAGGTTAGAAATGGAAAGAAGAAACAAAAGTGATGCTTTACGTGACGGGAAAAAGAAAGTGATCATGGAATTGGAAAGGGTGGCTAACATGTGTAGTGAGGAAGAGAAGAACAAGTGTGGCCTGATTTAATTAACCATTTGACTCATCACAATGACAGCCCACATTAATTCATTTGAAAATAAAAGGTTGCAACTGATTAATTCATTAGTAATTGAAAGCAATACTCGGTTGGGGTCGGGGTTCTCGGAGAATAAAAACGTCAAACCGCAAGCCGAGCTGATGACCTCGGTTTTGCATTTTTTTTTTTTGGCCGAAAAAATAAAAATATGCTAAACCCGCCATTGTCGAGTAATTTCAAGGCGGCTCGGCCGAGTTCTTCAAGTCTGCGGGGTTCTTGTACACCGTTACAGTCTGTGAATTTAGCTGCATAGCCCAATAAACGATTAAAGAATTATGAGCAATTTTTAAAAGGAAAATAGTAAAAAATATACCAATATGAAAAGTTTAAAAAAGTATATAGGTCAATTTTTAGTTATAGAAATTAATATGTCATAATTTGTCAAGTTATGGTTCATAATTAGATAAGTTATGGACAAACTTGTCAAGTATGATTCATAACCAGACAAGTTATAGACAAAAACCGTGAATTATGGACAATAACTTATCAAGTTATGGTTCATAACCAGATAAGTTACGGACGAAAACAGTAATTTAGCATATTTATTAACTTATGTAAACTATTAGCCTATTAATTTTAATTCATTTCAAGTATTTGCTTATTTCCTTCTTTTTTCTTTTTTTAAAAATACTCATTGAACCTCTTTTTATTTATTTTTCTTAACATTAATTTATATATTTCTACATTTTACATTAAATCTGATTAAATAATAAAATTTTTTAAAATATATATTTTTAATAAGTCAAATACTTAATTATTATAACACAACCAAGCCATTTTGCTGTATAGTGGTAAATATTCTAATTAGTCATACGGGTGTCCTTTTTTTTTTGGTTGCTGAAACCGATGTCCTGAGTTTTTTTTTTTCTCTGAATCGGTGTCCCGAGTTTGATCCTGCGATGGTAATACTTTTTTTCATAGCCTTTGATCCCTTCTTGTTGTTGTTGTTCTCTTTTTTTTTTTTTTGAAAATCGTTTGATCCATTTTAAATATGAGAATCTTTTGCGGTATAAACTCTGAATAAGGTACTAGGTATATAAATAAATAAATAATTTAAACCTCATTTATTTTGTAATTTAAATTTTTAATTTAAATTGAGATATTATATTTTTTAAAATTTTTTAACTGTAATAAAAAAATTAATGTAATATTTTTTAAAAATTTTTAAATATAAAAATTTAAAATTAAAAATTCAAATCAATAAAATAAATAAAGCCGAGCAGGTAAAATTCTCATTTAACTTTAATCAGTTTCCACTTTCCACTTATATTTCGTGGTCTGTTATTTCCACTTTGGGCACGTGATGCTGGACGTTTTGCAAACTCTGGAATCAGATGCTGCAACAGGTGTTCAAGCTCTATGTAAAAAATCAATACCCAGAAATGAGTTGGTCAATATTTTGTTGGAAGTTTCTAGTTTACTTCCTTATTTCCTGGAAGCGATCTAGCTTTTATTGTAGAGATGTCAAAAAATGTATACTTTAAAATTTCTATAAATGAACGTTCGATAAATTAATAATCTTGTTTAAATAATAAAAACTTACGGTCTCAGTTAATGTACTAAATTAATAATCTCGTCAAATGTATACGATAATTTTTTTTTCAAATCCTAAGGAAAATATAAATTAATAGTTGACAAAAAAAAACATATATAATTCATAATATCAAAGTTTTTCTTGACAACTTCTATTTTCTCAATTCAACTCTTTCATAAAATATGCATCTAAAGTTATTTGTTTTTACTTTGTACCTAAATTGAACTCAACCTCGTCTTTAATTTTTTTTGCAAATCATCTGGTATATATTTTTCATATTGTAGCAAGTAGTTATTAAAAGTTACTATTACTTGAAACACTTCTTTTGAGAAACATTAGTAAAACACAACTATTATCTAGATCATAATCATTATCAGCAGGCGTATTATCCCTTGAATAATCTCTTCATAAGTGATTCCATCACTACATCATTTTCACTAGGATAACTCAAAAGGTGCTCAACGTCCATTGCATTTCTATACCGTAGAATATATATTAATTTTGAGCTTCTATGCATGTACATAACAACAATTTTTTTTTTTTTTTTCATAATATACATGATAACTTTTGCAATTCTCTACATACACATATTAATTTTTGGCCACATACTATTATCTTTGTTATTTATAGCTCATGCATGAATTTTGCCCAAAAAAGGTACATTTACCCATAAATTAATAAATTACTCCTTTACTGATAAATTAATAAATTATTCATTTATCGATATATAAATAACCTCTTTAAAATAATATTTTTTTAGTTCCAACAATAATTATTTAGGCAAGGTCTCTAGTCAGGCACTTAGAAAATGCCTAACCAGAACGACACTTGTATATTTTTGTATAAGTTGTGTATATTTACAGTAAGTTGTGTATATTTACATGGCACTTGTATAATTGTGCAATCGTGTATATTAACATGTAAATCGTGTATATTTACATATAAATCATGTATGTTAAGTTATAAAAAATGACAATGTATATTAATCCTCAAAACATGTTTTTTTATAGCAATTAGTGAACACATAGCATGAAAATATGTATATTGACTGATTTATTATATTTCATGTTAAATATACACGACTTTACATGTAAATATACATAATTTACGTATAAATATACACAATTTATACACGATTATACAAGTGTCTGACCAGAGACAATTTCTAATTATTTATATAGGTTTTACTGTAACTGGTTTGGTAGGTTTAGACTAATTATTTGTCTTAAAAAAGTTTTAGACAACAACTGCAATAAAGGATTAATTAAAATAATACCTTATAATTTTGATTTTTTTCTCAGTTTATTCCAATGTGTTTAGAAACTAGGGTTTGTTTTTTTACATAATTTGAATTATGTATATGAGACAAAAATAATGTAGTAAAAAAATTAAATTTAAATTTTTATAAAAAAAATATTGTAATAATACCTTAAAATAATATCTTTTGTACTTGAAAATATAATGGTTCCTGTGGTTAGAGTATAGGCATCAAGCTTTCAAACTGATCAAAACATACAAAATAAAAATATAAATCAATTGGTTAATGGTTTGGTTTGATTGATTTAAATAATTAAATGCACATTTTCAAGTAAATTAATATATCAATAGATTAAAATTTTTAGGTAAAGTCTCTAATGACACCGGATTGGAGCGGACTTATATATATATATATCTAAAAAAACGTGTATATTTTTTTAAAAATGTATATATTTTTTTTAATATATATTGTATATTTTATCATAAAAAATATACATATTTTAAAATATATATATACACATTTTAAAAATATATATTTAAAAAAAAAATGAAGTGTCGCTCCAATCCGAAGAGCGGACTAGAGACAATTCTAAAATTTTTATCTATTAAATATATATTTAAAAAAAAATGAAGTGTCGCTCCAATCCGAAGAGCGGACTAGAGACAATTCTAAAATTTTTATCTATTAAATATATATAAAATTACATAAAAATTAAAAAATATATAAATTTAACAATTAAAAATAACCTTATCCAATGGTGGGTGTACCCTCAAATTTCTTGCTAGAACTGTTGCTGAATTCGAAGCAATCGAAGTGGGCTTTGGGTCCAGTCAGAAGTCAGAACTCGGTCTCATAAGCCGACATCAGCAAAGTTTCCAAAGCATATTTGGATCAGAACACCTTTGCGGGCCCCACCATACAGATAAAATCATAACCCATTTCCAGACCATAGATCCATTCAGATCGAAAAAAGCAATCGCCTCTCCACCGTCCGATCACAAAAGCAACGGGTCCCACCAAACACAATCCATAAACAGTTATACGGTTGACACTTTCGACTTTCGAGATAGATGGAAGCAAGGAACGAATAATAAGCATCAGAAAAAGCAAAGAGAAGTCCAGCCACGCCACCATCGCCGAAGAACCTTCCTCCAAGCGATGAATTTCGTCACATAAAAAGAAGAACAAGAAGAAGAATTAGCTTCTAGATCTTAGTTCTACGCTCTTTTCTTTTTATCTCTTTTTCCATTAATGGCGGAGAGCAAGAGATCCATGGGGACGGTGAAGTGGTTCAGCGCTCAGAAAGGGTTCGGATTCATCGCCCCGTATGACGGCGGTGAAGATCTCTTCGTTCACCAGACATCGATCCGATCCGACGGTTTTCGGACCCTCTCGGAGGGTCAAACTGTCGAGTTCGCGATCGATCACGGCGACGACGGTCGCACCAAGGCCGTCGATGTAGCGAGCCTCGCCAGATCTGGTCTGTCCGGGCCTGGCCGTGGCCGTGGCCGAGGCGGAGGAGCCGGGTCCGGTGGGAGGGGGAGAGGCGGCGGTGGCTACCGAAGCTATGGCGGAGGGTTTGGTGGCTCTAGAGGAGGGAGGTCCGGCGGAGGCGGCGGCGGCGGCTACTATGGAGGAGTAGAGTACTATGGAGGAGTAGAGTGCTACAATTGCGGCAGGACGGGTCATTTGGCGAGGGATTGTTATCAGGGAGGCGGCGGCGGAGGTGTTTATAGTGGTGGCGGTGGTGCGAAATTTGGCGGCGGTGGTCGGGGATATGGCGGCGGAGGGAGTAGAGGATGTTACAATTGTGGAGAGGAAGGGCATTTGGCTAGGGATTGTCCGAACGATCAGAACTGACGCGTCCTTGGTGATCATGCTTTTCTACCTCTCGCTTATCTCTCTTTCATTGACAGATTATCTGGATTGCCGCGCTTTTTTCTTCCTTTTTTTTTTTGTTCATTGATTTTTCGTGCGTTTGAAAAAGGAAATGGATGTTATTCTTCTGATTTTCTCATTGTTGGGGCTTTTTGGCTTTGGGTGATTATCTCTTTCGCATGATTTGGTAAAATTTGGGCAACTTTTTTGCGTTTAATAGATGTAATTTATTATTATTATTTTTTCCCTAATTCTCTCTCTTTTCCATTCATTGCTTCCTTGAGTCCTTCATTTGTAGAACTTGTTTGTTAATTTATATTAGTGGAAGCTAAATTTATTCATTTCTTTTGTTACCTCTTTTTGGTGATTTTGTTAATACACGTACTATTATCTTTCCTAATCAATAAATCCATGTTCAATTATTCATCTGCCAATTCTGCATTTGTTGGTCCTCGTGAAATTTGCATCCAGCATTATAACCTCTGAAAATTCCAAATTTGATTGAAATCCCAAAAATATATCTCCCTTTTCCTTGTGGATATCTATGACTATGAGCATTGCGGATGATATTCCAAAAAAAAAAAAAAAAGTGGAATTGCTTATTCATTTGAAAGAGACATGAAGCTTCTCAAGACTTCTCATTTTCTTGTCCAGTGTTGTGGATATATCATTTTTGTCTTTTTCAAGCTTTTATATGGAGCACTGAATTGTTGTGGATATTCTGGTTTGCCTAGCTAGTTGCTTAAATTATGTCATGAAAGATACTTATGTGGGGGGTTTTGCTTCTTATTCTGAGATAACTGTACAAGTATGTTGATTACCTAATTACGTTGATTCCAAGTTATGCATCAATTTTTCCAAGTTATGCATCAATTTTTGCATGAGAAAACAAAAAACCAAAAGTCATCCTTGCATGTTAATGGTGTGCTTTAGATCATCTAATGCACCTTATCTTGGTTGATGACTATGAGAGGTCCATATTTGGCGGGTCAAGATAGCATTTTCCCTTGGCCCTGATCAAAACACCAGTAGAATCGTTGGCTCTTAAACTTGGTATTATCTCAAGTGTCCTTTTCACTTTCCATATTCAATCTTGAGATATCCTTCATCATCGTTGTCATTTCTCTCCACCTCTCTCTCTCTCTCTCTCTCTCTCTCGCTCTCTCTCTCCGTGTGTAAAAGGAAAAACGAAAATGACATCTAAAAGATGGTTTTGTGTATGAGAGTTATGGCAATGGGAAGATGTGGGTAAGAGATTTTGTGTGCCAACTGCCATAGACAACAACAGAGAGGAAGTTGGCTGCCTCTAGGTATATAGCAAACGTCAATTGAAACTGATATTTAACAGTGGGACTTTTTCAGGCTGAAAAGTGTGGTTTAGTTGAAATTTTTATTTACCTTCTTGCTATCATTTGTTTTTGTTGAGGATATAAAAATAATCGGGTCATCAATAATGTTTATTGTTGCCCAAACTCGGTTTTAGGAACTGTCTACTTCCAATAGAGGTTAGACAATTGAAGCGGAAAAATTTGTGTATCATTACCAAATTTTAACGTTGGAGGGGAAAAATTACTCTCCATGCTATTTTGATGCTAAGTTTATCATGTACTATATATAGTATATGGCTAATTTAATATTTAATTGCTATTAGTTGATGTGTTTATTTTTTCATTCAATTATTACAACATTAGCATTTTCAAATTATTTTATCATTAGAAGTTTACTTTTATAACCTTAAAAACTTAATGATTATGACAAAAAAAGATGTAACATATGAAATAGCATTGTCTATTGAAAAAAAAAATGAAAATACCCGTCATTTTCACTCTTTTGGTACTAATTACAAGATTACACTAGAATAAAAAGGAGATAAGGTGATAGTTAAAATCCGTCGTCAAAAGATACAACAACGGTTTAAAAATTGTCGTCGTATCGATAATCGTTAAATGTCCAAGAGACGACGATAGTTTTTAACCGTCGTTTAATACGCGCGTGAGACACCATAAGAGTTTAAAAAGGCACATTAACAACGGTTTTTTTGAAAAATTGTCGTCTAATATAAACTTTTAATGACGGTTTTCACAAAAAAACGTCGTTAAAAGTATTAAAAAATTAAAAAATATATATATTTTTGCCGAAAACTAATTCTTTGCTCAAAAAAATTATTTTTTCGAATGTTATCACAAGTCATTGAAACAACACACATGAAAAAAAAATTTCAAAAAAACATGTTACAACTTCACCTTCTCATACATAATCAATATATATGTAACACAAATTTTTGAAAACCAAAAATCTCTATGAAATCTAACAACAAAAATACTTAGGTCATGACGGCCGGCAACGTATGAGCATGATTGTGAGGCTCTTGGAGGCGGCGACCAAGTTGAGAGTGAGGAGTACGTATAGTAATGGGAGTATGGAGTATAGAAGAGATGAGATTTGAGAGAAAAAAATTGAAGTGTTGAAAGGAGAGTTAGAGAGAGTTAGGGTGTAAGGAAGAGAGAGAGAGCTCTGGAGAGATGGAGAGATTTGAGTAACAAACTTAGAGTATGTAAGAAAATGGTCAAATTTATAGATGAGTCATCAAAACTTTAAAATTTTCGAAAAAAAAATGAGCGGAAAAAAGTCCGCCTTTTTTTATAAAAAAAAAAAAAAAAATTGACATTAGACGACGGTTTTAAAAAAACCGTCGTCACATTTTCGAAATAAATGAGTGGAAAAACCGTCATCTATTGTAGCATATTAGACGGCGGTCTAATGTGCGCGTATAGATTTTTCAGGTTCATACTGCGTTTTTTTAACAAATTAAACGATGGTTTTCTAAAAAATATCGTTAAAAAGGCATCGTCTAATCTCCTATTTGTTGTAGTGTTAGCGTTATGATTTATATTGGAGATGGTCTTAGTTGAGGAATGAATTTGGGATGTTTGAGGAGTTAAAAGGACTAGATTTGGCACAAATTGGAAGTTCTTGAGGGCTTTGGAACCAGATGTACCCATAGATATGTAACGAATCACCTAATAATATTTTTCATCCCTAATTTCTTCTCATTTGGAGGATATATTTCAAGGGAGATTCTCTGGTGCGCCGGCGTAACGGGAGGCCAATCTTTTCTAACCATTAAATATGCGTACTTTTTTACTTTTACGTGCTTTTATACACATGACGGATAGAAAACTAAACCTACCGGTCTGTTAGCGTATCAGAGAAGGTCTCATATTTCAAATGGGTTTGTTCTGCTATGTTAAATAGGTATTACTTTTAGTTGTTATTTAGTTGAAGTGTCTAGATGTGTATTATTTAGAGAGATTTGTATTCTTATTGGATGGGATATTTTAAATACTTTTGCCAAGGTATCGGTTCCTTCTTGAAGCGCAAATGTTGTGGATTAAGCTCATATATCCTCCATTTACGCCCCCTTTTTGTATCCATTGAGATCATGTCACGTTAATTAAATTTTTTTTTATTGTCATGACTTTTTAATTGAAGTGTGATGAAATTTTAATTTTATATTTTAATTGATGTGACATAATATCATTACATATGACAAATAAAGGGACAGAGAAAACGATTCCTTATAAACAATAGTTTTAATTGTTACTTTAATATTTACTCATTAATAGTTATCATGATTTTAGCCGTAAGATGATCAAACATATGTAATTAAATTGAATAGTTAATAAAAAAATTTATGACAATTGATATTGGATCTTCATTACGTCGTGCCGTTAAAATTTTTATATTTAATTATAACCATCGATAAAAACGTAAGCACCGAAAACTCATCTCTATGTATATTTTGTTATAGAAGCAGTTGCAAGTGGCCGAGTCCTGACTACTAGAGTGGCGAAGTTTCCTATTGATTTTGAAGCTGAGCATCTAATAAGGTTCTCTTGCAAATATGCCTGGCTTGCAATTGTCATATTTATCCCATCATTTGGCCTATAGTTCATTTCCTTTATCTTTGTGAAATTTTTATACTGTTTAGAGGAGGGCAATAGTTATGGCATTGCGTAACCAAAGAAAATGCGAAATCGATCATGTGGAATTAGTGTACTCTTGCTTTTGATATTTTCGATTAACAGCTTTTAGTTTTGGTGATATTATAAATGACTGCAATTTAAAGTATAATTAAGAAGAAAGAACAACATGTTGTAATTACTAATTCTATATTCTTTCTTTCCTCTCTCTCTCTCTCTCTAGTAAACTACATGATGTGATGTTTGTAGAAAAGAGAAGAATGTGTCGTTTCTTAAGCAGACCTCAGGAAGTTAGAAAGAACTGTCATTACTACTAATACATTGTAAAATTGATTGATTATAATTTGGTGAGTTAGTAACTTGGTGTGTTATTGTGTGAATGAACTTGTTAGTTTAATATATTAACTGTCCTCATTCAGCAAAAGAAAGTATACATACGTATTATCTGCTAAAGATCCTCAGGTCTTAAACAAAACATTCGATCCGGCAAGTTTTTAGTTTGAACTTTAAAAGGAATCGTCTTACAACTTAAAAAAAGTAGTTGATCTTTCTTAACTTAAAAAGGAGCTCAAAATACTACTAATTCTAAATATTGGATTCAAAATTGAGCAATTTGAGGTTCAAGTTTTTTCATTTATAGGAAATCCTTTAAGAGAGATATTTTCAAAGGAGGGGAGGAGAATGCAAATGAAAAGTTTATATCCGTCCACGTGTGACCAGTTATCAAATTACAGTTTGAGTATCATGTTGTTACTAATTCTTTTTAAATACCTCACACCGATTTTTACAATATAAAATGTTCACCGTACCATTCTCATTAATTAATAACAAATTAATAATTTAAAAAAAAATTAAAAATTAAAAATTAAAATAAGATAACGTTTTTAAAAAATATTCTTAGTTTCTATTTAATTTATAAAAAGAACAGTTTAGAAATTGTATGTTTCTCAAAAATTGGTCTTAAAAAACTAAAAGAAAATTTCTTTAAAAATGAATGTATTGTTTTTATATTATTAAAACACAAAATATCAATAAGATGTTTTACTGTAACAGAGAGTATCAAAATGATCTAAATAAATCTAAAAGAAGAATAAGCAATAGCAAAAGTACCATGAGAATCTACAAAATTCTTAAAAGATAGACTCAAAGTAATCTTCCTTTTGAAAAAAAAAAAAAAGACTGGATAAAGTTTCCGTTAAAAAAGAGAATAACAATGAAAAATAATAGAGCATTT